ATATGATCCAGCAATTCCATTCCTAGGTATTTATCCAAATGACACAGAAACATTAATTCAAAATGGCACCTGCACCCCTATGTTTATAGCAGCACTATTTACAATAGCTAAGCTGTGGGACAACCCAAATGCCCAAAACTACCTGACTGGATCAAGAAGATGTGGTACATCATTGTCCAAAGCATTGATAATGAAGGCAAAGATAAACAGCTGGGACTACATCAAATAAAGAGCTTCTGCACAGCAGAAGAACAATAATCAAAACAAAGAGAAACCCCACTAACTGGGAAAAATTTTGCATACAATACTAATGATAAAGACTGATCACAAAAATCTACAAAGAGCTGATGAGACTCAAAAAAAAAAAAAAAAACCCCCCAAAAAAAACCAAAAAAATAATCCAGTCAAAAAATGGGCAGAAGAGCTAAAAAGAAACTTCTCCAAGGAAGAAATGCAAATGGCCAACAGGCATATGAAAAAATGTTCAACATCACTTGTAATCAGGGAAATGCAAATCAAACTACAATGAGATACCATCCTACACCAGTAAGAATGGCACATATTAAAAAACTAGCAACAACAAATGTTGGCAAGGTTGTGGAGAAAAAGGAACTCTCCTGCACTGCTGGTGGGAGTGCAAACTGGTCCAACCACTATGGAGAGCTGTGTGGAGATTTCTGGACCTACTGAACAGAGCTTCCATATGATCCAGCAATTCCACTCCTAGGTATTTACCCAAATGACACAGAAACATTAATTCCAAAGGGCACCTGCATCTCTATGCTTATAGCAGCACTATTTACAATAGCTAAGCCATGGAAACAGCCCAAATGCCCAAAAATAGATGACTGGATCAAGAAGATGTGGTACATATGTACAATGGAATATTATTCAGCATTCAAAAAAGATAAACACATGCAATTTGCAGCAACATGGTTGAAGCTAGAAGGGATCATGCTCAGCGAAATAAGTCAGAAAGAAAAAGAAAAATACTGGATGGTCTCACTCATAGCAGGAATTTAGAAACCTAAATAAGGGACCAGGAAAAGACTAATCAATACAAAGTAAAAATCAAAATCAACAAGCAAATATAAACCAGAGACACACAAGGGGGGGGGGGAAGAAGTGGGGAGAGGAAGGACTAGGGTCAAAATAAGGGGGGGTACAGTTGTATGGGGAATATAACCAAAATGAAAATGCATACATTGTGCAAAAATGAAAAATTATGTAAAAGTTATATAAAATATTAATTAAAAAAAAGATGTGGTACATACACACAATGGAATATTACTCAGCTATCAAAAAAGAAACTCATGCAATTTGCAGCAACATGGATGGAGCTGGAAGGGATCATGTTCAGCGAATAAGCCAGAAAGAAAAAGAAAAATACTGGATGGTCTCACTCATAGCAGGAATCTAGAAAACCTAAATAAGGGACCAGGAAAAAGAATAACTATAAGAAAGAAAAAATCAAAATCAACAAACAACTATAAGCAGGGACACATGGGGGGGCGGGGAAAGGAGGGTTTGGGGTCAAAATAAGGGAGGTGCAATTGTATAGGGAATATAAAAATGAATTAAAAATTAAAAAAAAATTTATTTCTGGACTGTTTTGGAAAATGGGGCTGATTTTTTTACTCTCTTCTCTTCCAAAGTTATTGACCTATGTAGTTTTTTTATTGCTTTTTGATTCAATTCCAATAGTTGGCTTCCTGGAGAAATGGCACTTGTTTCCAAGGATTATTTAATGCTTGAGGATAACAAAGGTAAACACTCTTACCTGTAGTTTTCCCAGATTTTGGTGTCCCACAATTGCAATCCTAACAGGCATGGCAGGCTTAGGTTTGGGTTGGCGGAATATATTTGATGGGGTTCTTCATAAATTTTTCTCTCTAGTTTCCTTACTAGATAAAAAATAAATGTACTGGCGATGGATTACAGGATACAGTGGGTTCTCTGGACTTTCAATTGGCTTGATTGTCTCTCCTTCACTTAGCTGCAGCACATACACAACTGAGTTTGTAAGTTAGCTATATTACAGCATTTTCTCCAAATGTTTAAAAAATTGTAAATTAAGAAAAATTTCTTACAGAATAAGAAAACTAATTACATAAAATAACAATATTTGAAACTAGAAAGAACAAGTTATTTTGTACTCACATGCAATCACTGTAATCTTTCTTAAATAGCTTTTAGTTTATAACAATGACAGCTTGTCTTCTACCTTCACAATATCTTTAGCACATATTGTTTTTGTCAAGGAGTATGAAGTTTACATATATTTATGAGCTTTTATTACAATTTATTCTTACATACAGGTCCATTGTTAATATGGCGTTATGGATGACAATGTGCTCCCCCAAAATAGTAAGTTGAAGCTATAACTCTCCCATTTCTGTACAATCCTAATTGTGTTAGACATGTGCCCTTTTTCCTCCTTAAATAGGATTTTTACTCTGCCTTCTTTTTCTCACTTACCATCTCAGAGAGGTTGGGCTAACTATTATTGTTAAATAGGTGTTCTAATACCTGCTTAACCTTGTATTTCAACACGAATAATATTTCTATATTTTAACATATTTGAAAACATTTCTCCTGGCAATCTTATAACAATGATAAAGAAGATAGCACAACTAAATACAATCAAAACTGATTGTGTCAATATCAACTAAGCTAGAATTAGGTTATCTCTACAGAAATAGAGGAAAGACATGAAACTCTTCAACTACTTTTTCCACTTCAGAAAGGCAAAACAACCAGATATTTTATAGCTAGTTAAGAATGTATAATGCTTATAATTTTTTTTTTTGGGGGGGGGAAATTATCCACTGTCTTCATAGACATAAAAAAAGAAAAGAAAGGAAAAGAAAGAACAGAACAGAACAGCAAAGAAAAGAAAAGAAAATATGACTTCAGATACATTTGTTGATATTACCTTTACAGGGTCCCAGTAGCCAAATGCACTTGTATACTTATAGGTAAAACTGAGCATTTTCTGAGCAAGGTGTGATGTGATTGGATAACATTTCTCAAAAATGCTTGCACGGTTTTCCACCAGTGATTTCAGTTTCGTACTTAACGTATATTGCACAATGTGCATCTTCCGAGCTCCATTAATGAAAATCACTGGTATCAAAAACTTCTCAAATTCTTCCTGATGAGAAAAAATCATAAAACCAAATGTTTTTAGGGGGATAAAAGTTGGTAGCACCCATCTGGCACGTACACACTGCTGATGATTGATGACCATCTAGAGAACAATCATTTTTCAGCTTTGGAGTGACTACATGTTGGCACCTAAAATCTTTGACCCCATGTGGTTTCTATGTTGCCCTGGACTCATTAACTTGTTTAAATAATTGTAAGCAGTGATGACAAAGGAAACTCAGTCCTAGAGTACACATTCTTTCGAAATGTTAAAAGAATATAAGATATAAACCAAATTACTTTTGTTTCATTCTCAAATGTTACTTTTTGAGTTATGAAAAAATAAGAAAAAAAACCTGTAGTAATTGTAAATTATTCATATCTGCGTCAAATTTTTTCTCCGAGTTCAGCTCTCAGGCGTTCAAGTGCGTCAATTTCCTGCTCTTCCTCTTCCTCACTCAGCGTTTCCTCATCTTTTGGAAACTCTTCTTCAAGGATGTTTTCAATATCATCGTCTTCATCATTTTCATCCTCACTGAATTCATCATAGTCTCTAATGAACTGAGGAAGAAAAAGAGTCCCCTTAATTATACATGTAAAATATGGGATAAAAGATACCGCTATATCATCATTTGAAATATTGAAGGAGACTTGGCTATTGTATGGCAGCACCCCTACATTAACAGAAAAAATTTAAATATGCAGCACTCAGAAATTGAATACCTTCAACACTCTGACATAACAGGGAATTCATAAGTAAATAGACAAGCTAATACATGCTTGTATACAACACTCATTACCCATGCAGCTTGGGATGTGATCAGTTTCCTCACTTGTAAAAGAGGCATAATATAAGGTACATACCTCACAGGGTTGTCAGGGACATTATTTAATGCATTCAAAGTCCGCAGAAAAGTGTCTGGCACGTGGTAAGCATGCAAGAATAGCTATATTGCTATTACTATGCTATGATAGCTATTACTGTCACTTTATATAAAACGCTGTACATAACCTTTAGGATGTTATAGCCCCTCTGAGGAAATATGAACAATACAGAAATGTTTATTTAAGACCATGACAGGATATTGGTGATATATGATGTTGTATAGGCTTTAAGCGGTGTGCAGTTTAATTTGCACAAAACTGAGCACTATTCATCTTTCTGTACTCTTTTCTCCCTGAAGGAGTCCTTGTCTCAATTGGAGTTCTCTTTTCTGGTTAGAATCCTAGAAATTATCTTGGCTCTTGCTCTCTGTTATTGCACATCCAGTTTTCAAGAGTTAAAATATAAAATTATACTCAAAACTCTTTCTTTCCATCCCCACTCCTCTGTTTTGTTTTGTTTTTTAAGATTTATTTATTTATTTATGCAAGCACTGGGAATAGTCAGAAGCACGGGAGGGTGAGAGAATTCACCAGAGCCAGAGCGGGGAGCAGAACAGGAATATTGACAGAGCACACTGCTGAGGGGAGCAGCAGGCAGCAGGAGAGGTCTGCGCACCATGTGGGACCCTTGCTGGCGGCTGGGGATCGAACCAGCACTGCAGAGGCCACCAGCATCTTCACAGCCCAGCGCTCAACTGCTGTGCCACTGGGAAGGCCCTTCTCTGTTGATTTCCATACCCACTATCATTATTTCTTGCCTGTAATTTTCTGATTAGCTTGTTATTTTTTAACCTTTCTGTTTGACCTCAGTTCCTTTATAAGATGCCTAGGGCTGGGATTTGGACTAGAAGCTGCAGGGAAGAAGATGAGAGGATGAGGACTTTGTGTGTCCAGGCTCCTTTCTGATCAGAGCTTGGTTGTGGGGCAGTATGGGCGTATCATAATCAAACTCTTGAAAAGCAAAGATACAGATAAAATTTAAAAGCTGTTTGAGAAAAATAATACAGGAGGACAATTTAGATGAACATATTCTCCTCAACTTTCTGGTTTCCATTATACCAGAGGAATAAAGAACATGAGAAATGGTAAATATCTGGATAAGTGTAAAAAAGAATGTATTTTTTAAAAAGAAATCTTTATTGAAAATACATATGAAATTTTGTTTAAAACAGACTGACTTTTTCCCTGGAGTTTTCATTTGGTTGCAAAAACATGATAACTAGTACATAAAGGATGTTGGTTGAATAGGAGTGAATGTAAATGGACTTTACATAGCTATAAGGCTTCTACAAAGGCTTGACTTCTGAAAAGTCAAGGATGTATATGTAATTTGAGTGCAACCACCAAAAAAACAACACCTAGAGTTACAACTGAAAGTCAATCAATAACAGAAACACATTGACTATATCTAAACTATTCAAATAATCCCAAAGAATGCTGGAAAGGAGAAACAGAAAACAGAGGGGACAAAGAAAAAGTAAATAAAATTCATGTTTAGAGAAACAGGCCTCAGTTTGGAGTAAACTGTGTCACAATTTTCTATCCGGAGGGGTAAGTAGAATGAGTCTACATCTGGGTAGAAGCCTACACAAGGAGAGATAGAGATTATAGTCAAAATGTTTACAACTAGGGAGAAAATGAGAGCTGGAAACGAAGAAATGGAAGAAATAAAAGATCTGTCAGAGATCAGAGGTCCTTCTCAATATAGACACACTTATGCAGATACTAGATTCTCTTAGTACACTGGGGAGCAAGCAAGGATGCCTGCTGATTCTGGATTTTGAGGCCAGATTCTGAACTATTTGGTTTTCAGTGCCAACTCCAACCTGTGCACTCCTTGCACACTTTTGCAGCCCTCTGCACTACAGTCCGTGAGACTATGCACTCTGACTTGTCTCTGGAGGCTCATTAAGATGGCCCTGGCTGGTGCTAGACATTGTTTCTACCTCAACAGGACTCTGACTCTGGCTTCCCTCAGGACTTAGGCTGTGTTTCTCCATTAACTGCCCTGACTGGGGAAGGAGTCAGTGGCTAGGAAGAGCGAGAAGTCACAGCAGAGGTCAGGCCACTGAGAATTAGAACACATACAATGTAAATCCCTACACAAAAGGGCTGGTGCATAGGACAGTCTTAGTCACAAAAATTCCACAAGATGGCGACATTTTCCTGGGAAATTAGTGATACCTGCTATTTAAAATGAGACTTGGAAGTGATTTCTAATGTTAAAAATGTTTCATTTGCTGCCAAGATGTCAGACAGTAAAAAGGCAATGTTGTTTTATTAAAAGTGAGAGGACAAACCCAGGAACGGCTTTCTCTCCCAATGGTTTCCTAGCTAGGTGTAAAAAGGTGAGCTATTTATTCTGTACAAAGAGGCAAATGAAGTTCCTGTGTCTGTTCATGAAAGCAAGTTCCAAAGTGACATGAAGTCAGGGTAGATTCGACTCAGGGTGTGTCAGTAACTGATCTGAGCCGTCACATCATGTCTAAGCCTACGTTTTATTTAGTCTTTCTTTGTCTGAGGAAGTAGCAGGATGTATCTTAAAAAAACACCCATTAAAGGGACAAAAATCCAAAAATAAACTTTATTTCATCAAAAACCTCAGGAATTAGCTTCCAAAAGTCACTTGTATAAATTAACTGTGTGAGATATGCAGTAATTTTAAGCTTCAGGAAAGTCAACTTACAAGACACTGTTTAATTTATAAAATAGAATATCAAATCTTTGAATGAAAACATTAATAAGAAATCCCCCCTTCTAATGTTAACAAACAGAACAACTGTAAATTAAGAACGTTTAAAATTTATCCTCAAAACTAATACTCTTACTAATACTCTTAAGAAAAAGATTTAATTAAAGAATGGTAAAGAAGGAAAATTTAAATGTTATTAATTAGGAAAACTGGGTATTAGTAATTTTTCCTATTTTACAATGAAATAAAGCAGTCTCAGAGAGGTTAAGCAACTTGCTTGATGTGATAAAACAAAGCAACTATAAGTTGAGTGCCTACTGTGTGTCAGCATGATGTTAGGCACTGGGGAGTCAGTAGAGAACAAAGTCAGTAAGAACTAGAGTGAGGACACCAGTACAGGCCAGACAGCTCCAACGTGTGAACTCCTTTAGAAACACTCTGTAGAGATATCTGAGGTGCTACTCCAGGAGGCCACCAGGGATTTCCAAGGCCTAAAGGTAGTTAACTAGACTTGATTCAGGTTAGAGTATCTCTCTTTTTGCTCTTTAACATTAGCATGGCTCCTTGAAATGAGTAGATTTACAGAACATATTTGTTCACAGAATGAAAAATAGAGTAAGACCAGAGACCTCTGTCAATTTTGTTCACCGTCAATCCCAGGACTTAGAGGGTATTGTGCATAGTGAAAAGCCAGATGGAGAAAGACAAACACTGTACGATTTCACTCATACATGGTACATAGGGAAAACAAACACAGAGATGAAATAAGTAAAACAAGAATAAATTTTTGGATTATAAGACCATTTACTGGTTATCAGGGAAGGGGGAAAGGAATGGATAATCAGGACAAAGAGGGCAATTGTTTGGTAATGGATAGAACTGGACTTAAGGTAGTATGTATACACATGTTGATTTTCAGTGATAATACACCTGATATGTTGATGCACTGTAACTCCAATAAAAAAATAAAATGCTGTAAGTGCTGAATTAAGGCTTGATGATAAACTGACTGACTGAGTAAAGATCAAGGCAAATACTGAAGAGAAGACTTCTTATTCTGTAGATGATGCCACAATATTCTCAGTTTAGTAAGTTTAGATGCCTTTTAGGTTGTATGTATTTTGGACTAAGAAATAATTGCTTCAGCTCCTTTTATGTATGTATGTATGTATGTATGTATGTATGTATGTATGTATCTATCACCTACAGAGAGAAAGAGAGGGAGGGAAGAGGACAGAATGGGTATACTGCTTTAAATTTTTTTTTTATTTACTTACATCTTTCCTTTTGCTCTCTCTTTCTGCTATGAGTTCAGCCCTCCTTTTAGAAATCATATCATTCTGTTAAAGAAAGAGATGTTTAAAATGTTCAATGATGATGATAAAATTACTTCTATGTATTAACATTTTTTTCCTCAAGGTGAAAGAATAGTGAATTTTCCAGGAAAGTATGTGATGGTGGTAAGTTTGTTGCTGTATACTCCTAACTCTGGTCTCTTGTTCAGCTATTATATAGATATACTTTCATTTTCTGCTCAAACATACTGCCAGACAGAGAATATTATCCCATTTCATAGGCGGTTAACCAAAGCAGAGTGTTTAACTAATGTCATGTCACCCTCTCAACTACTGGTCTCCCAAGGGGAGGGTCACTGTCAACGCAGACCGAGCGGGAAGCTAAAACCTGACACTGCAGCTATTTTGATGTGGGCAATAAGAGTATTTTCTCATTTTCCCAATGTATAGGAGTCACTCAGCTAGTTTCTGATTTCCTTGAGAGCAAAGTGCTTCATGTGTAGCTGTGACCTTGGTGTGTCCACAGAGGAAGGGAGTCAGGAGGCTCCCATGCTGCTGACTTGGGTCAGGACCAGCACCCCCCCCACCCCAACCCCACCCCCCGTGTGGATGTCTACCATATTTTGCTTATTCATTCATCAGTTGATGAACAATGGGTTGTTTCCACTGTTTGGTTATTATAAATATTCCCATATAAATTTTTATATGGGACATGTTTTCATTACTGTTAGATAAATTCTTAGCAGTAAATTATTTGGTTCCTTGATACTTTTGAACATATGATGGATTGCAGATTATAGTTTTAGAAAAGATGTTCATAGCTAGTATCTGGAACTGTTTCACTGTAATTAACATCACCTCGATGGATTGTGTCATCATTTCCAGAGGCAGCACAAAAAATCACTGATTTTATTTCTTTGTGTTTTCAAGGTCTGCTCCACTTGTTGCTTCTTCCAGTCTGTTTTTGTGTCTGATAAAGGGATACTTTGGTGCTACCACTATCTTTGATTTTGTCTGCCTTTGAGAGAGAAGCATTGATATGCTGATAATCACAAAGGTCTCAAATAATTCCTAGCTTTTTAATTATAAATAGTCTTAATATTGAGAGAGAGAGGTGTTTTCATACTGTCATATTAACATAATTGTACTTTTGTAAAGACCACTGTATAAATTGAATAGATGCTGAACATATTTACTGTAAAGATTTTTTTTTTTTTTTTTTTTTTTTTTTATAGAGGCATGTTTTATTTATTTATTTGTTTGTTCATTTGTTTTGTTTATACATGCACTGGGTACAGTCAGAAGCGCGGGAGGGTGAGAGAATTCACCAGAGCCAGAGCGGGGAGCAGAACAGGCAGAAGGACCGAAGTACACTGCTGAGGGGAGCAGCGGGTGGCAGGAGAGGTCTGCGCACCATGTGGGACCCTCCTCCGGTGGCCGGGGAGCAGCCGGGAATCGAACCGGCGCCGCAGAGGCTGCGGGCAGCTTCGCAACCCAGCGCTCTACCGCTGCGCCACCGGGGAGCCCCTGTAAAGATTTTTAAGTAAATACCTTGATTTTTGCTTTTATTTCTTTGATCATATTTTTTCTTTCTAATTTCTTGTTTTGTTTCAGTTTCCACTTTTTAATTTGGGAAGGAAGGAGGCGATCAGAAATATCTTGATCATCAACTTGTATGAAAACAGCAGCATCTGGGAAAAACCCACGTTCCACCAGAAACTGGATCTCATCAAGATATCGTGGGAAACCATCTAATATAAAACCTGTGGAACTAGGTGGAAATTTCATAATTCACTTTACTTGCTTAAACTATTATAAAAACAGAAACATTGACAAATCTCTATACAAAATACTCAATGAATAGTTTAAAATGTTTACTACAGTGTCTTTATTTCTTTTAGTATTTCTACTTTCAAAATACTGTGATTTATAGGGAAATAAAGGGAATTTTGTCATTTAGATGACCAAAATGTATTTCTCATACATACTTGGTCTTCATCTATAGTCCTGCCTCCCAGCTCCCAAAAGCCTTGGAATTTTCTAATTGTTGAGAGTGTGAAAGGTGTCTCTTGCCATGTTAATGAGGTGATACATATATGATACCATAACAGACATACATATAGGAAAAGAGCTAGCTGGCATTTTAGCATCTTGTTTTCTTTCTTATTATATGGGCAAATATACATATATTAGCTTCAAGATATGTATCCTTCTCTTTAGCGCTGCCTTTAGTGCAGTCTCCTCTGTTTCAGATGTCTCTTATTTGTCAGTAACTCCAAAATTTTTACTCTACATCTAACTTCTTTTCTGATTTTGAATTCAGAATTTTCAAAAATCTGTTTAGTTTCTCCACTTGAGTGCCCCTCTAGAACTACACATGCATCACATTGTCAAAAATCATACTAATTGTTACCCTTTCATATTGCTCTTTCTTTGGATTAGGGTTCAGGTCACCAACTTCAGAATTATTTTGGCATTCTCCCTCAACTTCCTTTTGCTTCTCACATAACAGCAAAGTCCTACTATTGCATCTTAGTTTAGGACTTTGTTATATTTCTTCAGTTCTAATACAACAATTATAAGAACAACAAATCTCACTACAGAAAAAAACCGGAAAATAGAGAGAAGCATGAAAAAAGGCAAAATTATCCCTAATCTCACATTTCAGAGGCTATCAACATTTTGCTTAATTTCTTTTTTTAAAGATTTATTTATTTATTTATTTATTTATTTATTTATTTATTTATTTATATAAGTACTGGGGACAGTCAGAAGCGCAGGAGGGTGAGAGAATTCACCAGAGCCAGAACGGGCAGAAGGACCGAAGCACATTGCTGAGGGGAGCAGCGGGCGGCAAGAGAGGTCTGTGTACCATGCAGAACTGTCCTCCAGTGGCCGGGGAGCAGCCGGGGATCAAACTGTGCTGCAGAGGCTGCAGGCAGCTTCGCAACCCAGCGCTCAACTGCTGCGCCACCAGGGAGGCCCCATTTTGCTTAATTTCCTTCCAAGTGTTCTTCACATGTCCATCTCTCTACCATATTAAAATAAATTTGTATCTTCTTTTATAACTTAAAATGAAATGACATTTCTGATGCTAGTACAAATTATTATAATAAATTTTAATGCTTGCATAATATTCAGCTATTATATTTAGGCCTTTCCAATTTCTTTTTTAACTTCTAACACTGTTGAATTCTCTAATCCCTAGTCTTTTAAAAAATATATAGTGTGAAATGGGAGTTAGAGTAATGAAGAAAGACCCATGACTATGCAGCTTAGGTAACCTGCCTAAATTTCCTACAACTAGATCTAATAGATCTAATTTTTGGGACACAAAATTGAAATCAAGGTCAATGACTAATATCCGACTCACTCATCTAGACCAGGGGCTAAGTGAAAGCCAATGTCCAGAGCAGCACTGAGACTGGCCGACTATCTGAATTCTCTATTACATAGTTTCCTTATCTCCAAAGTGAGAGAATAACATTTTCTATCCCTTACTATAATTGTAAGACTGGAGTAAATTTATATGAATAAATTTAAGTAGAACAGTAACTGACAGTAAGTTCCATTTTAGTTTTTGCTGTTATTGGTACTATAATATTATTTCATTTGCTTCTGGTGGTTAGGAAATCAAGCTGAAGTTTTAAACTGGTAATCTAGAGAGTCTTAAATTTGTCTTGGCTTGGTCAGCTTGTTCCAGTTCTTGGTAGAGGGATAACATTATGCACAGCTATTAAGGGGGTCTCACCTAAAATTGTTAAAAGACTTTCAGGAGAAAAGTCTAGGACCACATTGTGGTACGTGGGTTTAGAATCTGTGTTCTCAACCATGACTACAGATCAGAATCAGCTTGGAAGCTCTCAAAGATACTAGTGCTTAGTTCCCAACCTCACGTTCCTGCAAGTTTTGATTCAATTATTTTGGGTGGAGGCCCATCTTTTTCAGTAATTCCCCAGATGTTTCTAATTTGCAGCCCAAGTAAAAATCACTAGTTTACATGCAAGTTAAAGGAGAAATTTTTAAATATATGTTTAACTATATTTTAACTTTTGTGAATAAAGCAAATGAATGTATACAAATTGAGATACCGTATTGGTTCCTTAAGCCACCACTCAGAAAGAATGGTTTCAAGAATTTCAGGAGGCAATGACTCATTTTCCATTAGGCTTGCTTTGATTGCTTCTTCTTCTTCAGTAAGTTGTACTTCCGGAGTCTAAAAACAAAAATCAAAAAAATGAAGTAAGAAACTTAAGACTCCATTATTAATAACACTAGATTACATAGTTGATTAAGATGAGACCTGTTTGTTTTTATACTGTCACTTTTCATACTGTTATTTCTAAATGTTTTAAACTTGAGTTCCTTATTTTTTAATTTTTTTAAAAAGATTGATTTATATATGCATATAAGAGCTGGGGTGCAGGCCAGAGGTACGGGGTAAGGTGGGGGTTTGAGATGATTCACCAGAGACAGTGGGGAGCAGAACAGGTAGATCTACTAAAGTCTAAAGTACACTGCTAAAGGGAGCAGCGGGTGAGACAGAAGTCTGCTGCACCATGTTGGTCACCTCCCTGGCTGGAGATTGAACTCATGCTGCAGTGGCTATAGATAGCTTCATAGTGCTGCGACTTGACCCCTGTGCCACCAAGGAAGCCCCTTAACTTGAGTTCTTTAAAGCAGTCTTTCAGACAGCTTTAATAAGACAGTATATCCACTATAGTTTACAGGAATTACTAGCAATTAGTATGACTGATATTCATACATGGCCTCAGGATACCTGCCCTATCACTTTTTGCCAAAACCTTGTTTGATCTATGTAACACACCTATAAGGCTTACCTGAATTGTCATCTACCTTATAGTTATATAACCCAGGCAGTCATCTGAAATACAAGCTGTACCTGTTTCCATTTAGAGGGCAACCATTGAGAAGAAAATGTCTAGCTTTGGTTAAAAAGTGAGTTTGAATTAAGAATTTTCTTTTTACAACCCCAGATAGAACCTTCCTAAGAGATCCATACAAACTTGTGAGGTTTCATTAGAAATTAATATTTTGAGATTTCCATTGTGCTGGAGCAGATTTTATGATTTTGGCAGAAAACTGAAAACCTAGTATGGGAAACTTTAAAATCTAGGACAGACATTTCAAATAACATAGTCCCAAACAAATACTGTACACACAGTCATGTCAGGGAGTTATATAAAACTCAGTATTTTATCTTCTAGAGGAACAGTTAAGACTACCATACGAGGAGTATGATTTTTAGAAATGTGTAGTTTTATACAACTTATATTCTATTTTCCAAAAGTATTAACAGTAAGCACAACTATCTGTGAAGAGAATATTAATATTACTACCGGCTTCTTTGGTGTGTCATCCTTGATTGTAATATTAGCTTGACGTGCAAGCTCTTCAATTTCTTCTTTTGCGGATTGTTCTTCCTCAGACTCTTCCTCATATTCAAGTCCAACTTTCTTTTCAAGTTTGACCATTAGTTTTTCTTGAAGAAATTCTTCAAACTGAATGTGAAAAATCCCCAATTTTTCTGCCAATTGTCTTCCACAGACAGTTTTGCCAGAACCATGGGGGCCTAGAAGGCATATTCTTAATGGGGGAGCCTGCCACAGTGGGATGGGTCAGGAGAGATGGGAGAGAGGGAGGGTGAAAAAAAGGAAATTTTGAATAATTTAGAAAATACATGTCATATTAACTGTCCTCCCTAAGACGGAGTAGGAATTATCACTTCACAAACTCAGTGAAGTGGACTTTCAGAGGTGCGAGTGGGTTGATGTCATCTGTAGAAGTGAGATGACTCAGGATTTGGGGTGTAGACTTGTTCACTCTCAGAGGCAGGATCACAGGGGTGCCTCCAAGCCTGACTGGCTGACTCTCAGGAGCTAGGACTGACACTGGTTACACTGTAAGGGAGTGTTCCCTGAGGTGAACATCTTTGATCAATTAAACTGTTTCAAAACTGGTTCAGATGGCTATTGTTCCCAAGACTGCTATTTCGAGATTAGCATATCTATTGATGTAATTCAATGCAAGAACAATGGTGCTCAGGGAGCATCTATAGGACATCTTAAACTTCATTCTGCAGTTATGAATCAAAAGGTATTTAATAAAATAAAATGTTTTTTTAAAGATTTATTTATTTATTTATTTATTTTATAATAAATTTTATTTTTATATTCCCCATACAATTGCAACCCCTTATTTTGACCCCAATCCCTCCCTCCCCACGCCCCACCCCTCCCCTGAGTGTCTCTGGTTCATAGTTGTGTGTTGATTTTGATTTTCACTTTCTTATAGTTATAAAATGTTTTGTTTTTAAAAATGATGGGGAACAAAGGAGGAGTGGGCCTAACAGTCAATGGTAGAGTATCGGCATTTTGGTGGTGGGTAACATAATCTGAAGAGCTGTGAACCTCTTCCCCTAAATCATATATCATGTTGGAAACCAAGGTTATCTCAAGAAAAAGAAAATGTCATCAAAAAATAAGTAAAAAAATTTCTAATTAAAAAATGGAAAGGCACTCTCTTAGCACGATTAAAAAACCCACCAAACTCTTTACCAAACAAAAAGCCCATTACTAATGACATGCTGGAAGTCCTTTCATCAAGTTCTGTAATTTCCATATTAGAGATGAGGAACTATCTAGTTTCAAGAACAACCTTTTGGAACACAACATAAAGTAATTATTCATTTTGATTTCTACAGTAATGCCTTGTGTCTAACTAACATGTAATATCATCTTAGCTGAAGTAAAACACAGTTTACTAAATTAAAGGCCAGCCCTACTGTTATTTTCTCTGAGCAGAGCAGTTTGCTGATCATAAGATAGGATTTGGGGAAGTTGGGATTCAGGGGTTGATGGACTTTCAGAGGTGCGAGTGGGTTGATGTCATCTGTAGAAGTGAGATGACTCAGGATTTGGGGTGTAGACCTTGTTCACTCTCAGAGGCAGGATCACAGGGGCTCCTCCAAGCCTGACTGGCTGACTCTCAGGAGCTAGGACTGACATTGGTTACACTGTAAGGGAGTGTTCCCTGAGGTGAACATCTTTGATCAATTAAACTGTTTCAAAACTGGTTCAGATGGCTATTGTTCCCAAGATTGTAGAACAAACCATCCTAAAGTTTTTTTTTAATTCTTGTTTGTCATCATTGGAACAACTTTCTTTCTTCTTTAAAAATATTTGTTAAAGCCAAACACAAGGAAACAAAAACTGGATGATTCCACTTATACAGATAAATAAAATAAACAATTTCATCATAACAGTAAATAGAGTATTTGGCCGGGAGTTGGGGAGAATGGAAGTCATTGTTAAAATTATACAGAGTTCCAATTTGGGGTGATTAGAAGTCTCTAGAGTGAGATAGTGGTGATGATTATAAAACATTATGAATATAATTAATGCCATCTAATTGTACACTTAAAAATGGTTATGTATACATTACTACAAAGGTTGGTCTTAAGTCCCTAAGAAAGTACGCAGGAACAATCAATAGGATAGGAATATTGTTTTTACCTTTAGTGGCTCTTTATGAGCCACATACTCCTCAGGGTGCTCCAAAAACTTTTCTTTAGCCTCAGGAGTTGAAAAGTAATAGATTTTTTCTCTATATTTAACTGCTTCATCTGTGTTGCCTGGTTGTAGGATGAAGTTTTCTTTGAGAACCACTGGACAAAAATGCTTTGAATCTCCCAAATGCCTTCTCTTCTCTTTAATTCTGTCATCATTCTGGAAATATTATTCAAAATTTGGAAAACATTAACAAAGAGTATTTTGAAATAATACTAAAGATGAAATTTTAAAAAAATGCACCTTGAATATTTAACTCATAACAATATATCTTTAAAACAATCTACAAAAGACCAATTTTATACTATTTGAATCAATTAAAAATTTACTAATTCATATGCCTCTATGTATCCTAAACGTCTTTATTTTCATAAGGAAAATAAAGCAGCATTGCGAATAAAGGTATCTCTCCAGTCCTCTACAGACATGGATATAGTGAAGAATCTTAGGATTTTTTGGTGCAGGGTCACTGTGAGGTCAGGTTAAAATTATTCCCAAGAAGCAAAAGTTAAGTCAGGGTCACAACTTCTTACCCATTGGAAATGAAATGGAAGATGTCACGGTATTTGTTTCCTACTAAGGAACTGTGCTCAAATAATAATTGGGGAATGTTTTATTTAATTCAAATAGCAAAAAGTTGTTCTTGTTTGAGAATACAGTTCATTATATCATATAAGCAGACTCTCAAACACTCCATTGTTGTCTTTTATGTAAAACTTCTATTAATTTATGAAGTACATTTGCGTCTAATACCTACAGATGTTTCCATGGGGAAAGAAGTTGAAAAGACTTTATTTTGCCCTCATCAGTGTAATATACTAAGTTGCCCTAGCATTTCAAGGGTCAAGTGAAACTGAAGTGGGGGTAAAGTATGTGTGAAATGCTTATAAAGTTGAGGACATTTGCTTATTCACTTGGGGTCACAAACAGTTGTGAGGGGATCAATGGGAATGAGCAGTAATAAAAGAACCATACCTCTTCCTCTTCCTCTTCCTCTTCTTCTAAGTCCTCCTCAACTTCTGTTTCGGCCTGATAGTCTTCAGCTTCTTCATCATAATCGTCAATAGTTAACTCCCAGCCAGCATATTGAAAAGGTTCTGTTAAAAAAAAAGAGAACATATGGGAAAATATTTTTAGGCTTAATATTTATCACAGCAGGCAAAGAGTAGGATAATTAATTATAATGACTGATCTTTTAGCTTAAATGTATTTGCAAATAGGTCTTTACAAATTCTCTATATGACTGTGGCTAGTGTGGCCAGTGCTATGGTCCCCCATGACTGTTTGGCTGGTGCCTACTCTATGACAGTTTAAACTTTTAAAAAATCATTGCTGATATAGTGAATGTTATATTTCATAACCATCAAGAAAGGCATTAATGTTTCACAGTACTTTTTTAATATTACCTGATTTTTTATAACAAATGTTTTATGATTCTAGCCCTTACTTTCCATAGTTTCGATTACTTTCTGAAATAGTTCCTCTGGAGACTTATGTGCAATCTCCAAGTTTAAAATTTGAATAAAAGATTCAGTGACTGCTGCTTCCATAAGACTCCAAGAAGAGACAAAAGACTGGAGATGGTCTTTAAATGGCTCCATTTCAGGAACATCAGGATAAGCATCTTCTGGAAATTCAGGCAGTTCAACTTTTATTAAAGGAAAGAAGAAAGAGCCTTCAAATAGATTGCCAAAATAATTTAAGCTTTATGCTTTTCAAACCCTTGCAAGAAATGAATTTATTGTTCTCAGTTTATGTAGGCATTCATAAATTCATATTTTAACTATACTTTGATCCTTGTATTGGCAATAGATTAATTATTATCTATTAGTAAATTATTATGTATTAATAAAATCCAAATTATTTGGGTAATTGATATGAATTGCATATGACAAATTTAACTATTAATAAAATGTATAAGGTATTTGATTAAAAACAGAATTATAAGACACTTAGATACACTTAGATGTATTTGGTGAAAAACAGAATTATAAGACACTTAGATACACTTTTAATATTATAAGCTAAATAAACAGAATGAGCATCAACTGAAGAAAGAAACAAGTAGAAGGTTGTATTATGCCTTAAATAACAGACAAAGACCATTTTTAAGAAAATATGAGGAATACTTTTATGCACTAACCACTTTTATGTTATGATCTAACCTGCTTGAAGTAATTCTTCTTCAGTTTCCAGGACCTCACTGGTTTCTTTTTCAACTTCTATTTCAACTGCAGGATACTCAGAAGATTCAGGTCCTTAGAAAAGAAATCTAATAGTCAATGTTTGAATTTTAAAACATTATTCCATTATAATTTCAAATACCAGTTTAACTTGTATATACTATATCTAATGTAACATATAGTTCTTGTTACCTGAAGTATGACATAAAAAGGAATTAGGGCAGAAAATGAATATTCTTAAATATACAAAAGGTCATTGATCAGAAGACTTGATACATGGTCATACAATTTTGGCTAAGTGCAATTAAATATTATTCAATAGTATTTGTACATGGCATCAGGACAGCAGCGGATTTGTATTTGGCAGATATTGTCCATCTGCAACAGGGCACTCTTGGTAAAGCAAAAAACAAACAGAAGTGCCCAAAGTAATGAATTTATGTTTGACAGGGCCATTTCTTTCTTTCTTTTTTTTTTTTTATTGTGGTAAAATACACATAAACTTATCATCTTAACCATTTTCAAGTTTACAGTATGGTGGTGTTAAATACTTTCACACAGCTGTATAAATATCCCCAACCTTCATCCTCATAACTCTTTTCATCTTGGAAACTTGAAACTATACTCATGACACAATAACTTCCAACCTCCCTTCTGTCCAGCTGCCTGGCAGTCACCATAATACATTCTGTCTTTATGATTTTGACTACTCTAGGTGGAATTACATAGTATTTGTCTTTTGAGGACTAATGGGGCATTTTTAAGTGAAAAAAATTACCTACCTATGTAATTTAGAAGAGACTGTGTGGAAAGAGACGCTAAGGAGGAAGAAGAAATCACTAGCTAAACCAAATGTAAGGCCCTCTGAAATAGAATATGGTTTAATATGGCAATACAGATCCATCATTTCACAGAAGTGAACTAGTCTAGAAGTCCAGTTATGTTTACAGCATCAGGCTAGAACTTAGCCTAATGGAGTAGGATGTTGGCATTAGAACATGCAAAGCAGATTCCCTGGGGGGTGGGGAGGGAATGAGATAAAAGATAATAAAATTAAATCATTCTCTAGTCCAGATCCTCCCTAATTGTGAAACACTGTAGATATTAAGACTCTGGGTGTATGTTTGGTATTAATGAATGACAGTTTATTTTATTTCTTTGGGTATTTTATGACCTGCGGTCTTGCAATATGTAGGTGGGTCGGAGAATTAACAGTTTAATTGACTAGGCACTGAAGAAAATAACAAAGTTTCTGGGTGAGAGCTCAAGTCAATACAAGTGTGGAACTCTTAAAAGGAAATTGGGTATTTTATTCTGCTGGAGCCTCTGTGTGGTACAAGGGATATGATTTTATACTTTTTGTCTGATAATACCAATCTCTATAGCAAAAATAATCTATTTTTTTTTAATTTAAATTTTATTTTATATTCCCCATACAATTACAACCCCCTTATTTTGACCCCAATCCCTCCTTTCCCCACCCCCCACTCCCCATAGTTGTTTGTTGAAAAAATAATCTATTTTGAACTTGAGATTTCTCATTGTAAAAATTCCCATTAATTCTGGTTCTTTTATCAACTATCAGGAGCTTTATAACCCTGAGTTGTTCCAGGCTGGGATCTAGCAGCAGGTGTCTGAAGACTTAATTTGTAAGATCAGTTTCTAATCCAATTCTAAGTGTGCTTGGAAGCATTTAAGAGCTCACTATCACCATGGTGGGGTCCCCTATCTTGCTGCTTCAGTCTTTAGAGTGACTTTTATCGCTCAGAGACTCCTTCTTGCCTGCTCAACCCACCAAACTGGAAATCTTACGTAGGCTGGCTTTGTGGGCCTGTGATCTGTGTAGCTGCATGGGATCTCATGCTCATATTGGTATCAAGAGTTTAATGCTCGTTTGTTGTCATTTTGAAATTTTTAATAATTTTATCTTTGAACTGTTTACTACAGCAAGACCTAAGCAGACATCAATGGAATACATATGTGAGCAGAGTTATGCATGATATGTGTTTGCCAGTCCTTGTCATTTCATCTTTATGAATGTTCCTGATGCCCGAGCATGAGCATAAAATTCAAAGGGCCCCACTATTTGTGGTAGGAAGTGTGACTGAGGAGTGGGTGGAGGGGAGTATGTGAAACCCTGGAGAGATCATACTTTCACTTTTTTTTTAAGTCAGTTTTTTTTTTTTTTAAAGATTTATTTATTTGTTTGTTTGTTTATACAAGCACTGGGTATAGTCAGAAGCGAGGGAGGGTGAGAGAATTCACCAGAGCCAGAGCGGGGAGCAGAGCAGGCAGAAGGACCGAAGTACACTGCTGAGGGGAGCAGCGGGCAGCAGGAGAGGTCTGCGCGCCACGCGGGACCCTCGCCTGGTGGCCGGGGAGCAGCTGGGGATCGAACCAGCACTGCAGAGGCCGTGGGCAGCTTTGCAACCCAGCGCTCAACCGCTGCGCCACTGGGGAGGCCCTTACTCTGTTATTTTCTGTATTAGCTAAGCAATTAGGCTGAAAGTGATGACATAGAAAGGGAAAGATAAAGGCAACCTAGAATTCCTCTTCCCTTCAGTCCTTCCCTAATAGGAAGCTAAAGGTAGAGGAATGTTAGTAGAATATGTGCATATTAAGAAGTTGTATATGTTTTGTATATGAAAACATGACAATGACCTAGTAAATGCATATACATGCATCACTGTGAAATAATAATCTTTCATTTCATTTATCTGCAGGAGTTAAATGTTCTATTTGCATTTAAAAAATAAGATGAACAGTGGCAGTAACTTAAAATTTAAATTTTCTTTTTTGGAATGACATGAAGTAGTCATAAAATAAAATGCACCACAGTAAGTTGAGAGACAAATCACAGGAGAAAAGAAAAAAGTTTTATATTTTAGGATCTTTAGTGGCACTTTTCCCCTGTTTTCTGAGCAATATGCCCACAAATTATGTAGCAGGCCCTGAGTGCCAGTACTCGGCCAGAGATCACGCGGCTTTCCTTCCATACTTCAAACCATGTGACTTGAACTAAATGGCTGTTCTCTAGGATGGATGTCTCCATTCTTAGCCTGCTTCCATCTTCTCAACACACACTCATAAATACACAAGCATGCACATAAAACACTCCAATGCGGGTAAATGGGCCTCAATAAAGTCTGACCTGATTCTGCTCTGGTTCAGGGACCTCAGAGATTTCAGGCTCTTCAGGTAAAGGTCCCTTGGTCTCCTCAGCTACATCAGGGGTTTCAGCTGCTTCTTGAACTTCAGGTTCCTCACCTTCGATCTCCTCTTCGGCCTCAGGGTCATTCTCTTCTTCTTCCTTCCAAAAGAAATGAGAAGAAATAAATTGTCATTCTCTTCTCTTTGGGTCAACAAATATTTAATTAGTTATACCAGACAAGCTTTTTGGTGCTGAGGCCAAAACAAAGAAGAAGAAATGGGCCTCTTGGAGCATGGGGTTTAATGAGGGAGATAGATACATTATCTATTTTGTCTATTAAAATATAGATATAGTGGTAAAGTGATGTAGGACAGTGTCTGGACATTTTGCTGTAGGTGTCATTGCTTAGGTGAGAAACTGTACACCTGAAAACTATATATGGTTGTAAACTAACATTACCTCAATAGTAATAATGAAAATCTCTCTCAGGACCCAGATCCTGTAAAGCACAGGATGTCAGCTATGAAGGACTCTAGTCTCCAGGTGTTTTCTAAATAATCCCTGAAAAGCGCTGCTGACAAATTAAAGTGGAAGTAAGGGAAGGTTCAAGCTTAAATTCAATTGAAGAGTTGGATGTAAATTGTTCCAAAGATAGATCCAGTGATATGTTCCATGATGACATGAGTTTTTCCTCTTTGCTTTTACTCCAGGGTTGAAAGTGCCCAGCGAAGGGATATGACTGGTTCAGGTCATAGACACAAAAAGGATACTAAGTCTCTGACTTAAGTGTCCACAGACCTTCATGGCCTGGGGCATGACAGGGCATGCCCACAAAGATAGCAGGGAGGCCTTGCAAAGGAGAAAAAGACAGGTTGAAAGGCACTGGGCTGTATCCCCACTGAAAAAAATCCCAGCAGCACTCTCTCAAGTACATCTACTTGCACAGAAGTGTGGTAGAGCCAGAAGCAAACCAGAGACCCACCTTGGGAATTGAATGAGAAATGAGATTGCCTGACAGGAAGAGGAGAGGCAAGATTAAAAGGTCTCCATATGTCTCAAGCACTATGCCACAGGATGAATTATGAGTTACAATGCAGCAGGATAAATGTTTACTTTGTACCAATTAACAGTTTATAATATTTAAAAAAAGGTAAAGGATGAGGTCATGTGCTCAGAGTACATGGGAGTACCAAACCAAGGGTTCATTCAAAGAGGAAATGTTTATAACAATTCCAAATAGTATAGCAATAAAAAACTGGAAAGAGCCCAAGTATCTATTCAATAGGGAATGACCAGACCTGCATTGTCTGAAGTTCAGCACTAGCTAAAAGTGGCTGTTCAGTACTTGACATGTGGCTGGTACCTGCTGAGATACACTGGTAAGTATAAAATGTAGGGCCTCCTTGGTGTCACAAGCGGATAAGTCTCAGCACTATGAAGCTATCCGCAACCACTGTAGCATAAGTTCAATCCCTGGCCAGGGACAACCCACATGGCACAGCAACCTCTCCTGTCTCACCTGCTGCTCCCCTCAGCAGCGTATTTCAGTCAGTCCACCTGTTCTGCTCCTCACTCTGTCTCTGGTGAATCCTCTCACCCCCACTCTCCTGGCCTATTACCCCGTTCTTGTATGTACAAATAAATAAAAATAATGCATGTATGAAAAATTGGTATAAAATATGTCAATAATATTGGTATCAATTACATGTTAAAAATAATCATTTGAATATCACTTATTAAGTAAAATATAGTCAATTTCACACATTTCTTTAAACTTTTCATGACTATTAGAAAAATTACATATGTGGCTTACATTATATTTCTGTCAAGCAGCACTAAGCAACTCAATATATAATACTAGATTTTTCTTGTAGCTAATCACAAATAATATCATATTGGTCAAATAATACCATGTTGGTTGATATGTTAAATGTAAATTTAAAAATAATGAATCAAAATTTTGTGTAGCTGCTAATGGCCACTATAAGAAATATATATGTAGAAGTCTTCAGGAAGAAGATGGGATAAATGGTGGTGTCAGAAAACCCATCTCAAACTCTCTATATTCATGAAATTGACTAAAACCAAAGTGTTTTCTGTGCAAAGATCATATTAAAATTAATGAACTTATTTTTTAAATTTTTGTGAGAATTTCTTCCCTCCCAGTGAGGATATTCCAAGAATCATATTCCTGTGGTGTGAAATAACTCTGGATGATTATATACAAAATCTGGATGATTAAGCACCCAGAAAAAAAGCATCCTGAAATGTCCTCTATTCTGAGGTCTAAGCAGGACTGCGTAGCATGTACCTTCTCAAGTATGTGATCTGGAATGTGTGGTGTTTTGTGTTTTATGGAGGATTTTATACTGACACAGCATTTGATGAATCCTATCAGAATTGGGATGAAGTTTTGAGCGCTACCAGAAACTCAAAATGTCCTTCAACTGAGTAAAAAACAAAAGAATAAGAAACAAAAAAAAATTGGTCATATACCTCTAATGTGTGTATTTATTTAGTTATTTAAATTTGTTTTTTTATATATACTAGGTACATTATAAAGCATACATATGAAAAGATTGATATAATGATGCAGAAATAAAAAAAATACTCTTTTCTAGAACCTAATGGATAATCTGTGTATTACATAAGTCAGCAATGGACTGGAAGATGCTCTAAGATCCTTGTACTCTCTGTGATTTTGACTGAGCATATGTTGCTAGTAGTATTGTGTCATAATAAATTACCTCATATATTAGGGTTGAAAAAACAATAATCTCATATGATCTTTGCACATGTCAATCTGAAGTCTTGACTGGGGTAGAGGATTCACTTCCAAGTGACTTCCTTCTACTACTCAATGTCAGAACCAAGGTCTTTAGGGGCAAGATAAACTCTGTCCAAAGACCTGATCCACAGAATTATGTGCACATAAAAATGGTGATGTTTTTGTTCTTTTGGAGTGGCCTATTGCGAGCTATGAAAACCTGAACACACACTCTCTACTCTTTGAAGCCAAGGACTCTCGCTGACAGTTTGGTAGAACTTATGGCCCTAGAGTAACACTTTCAAACTCATAAAATATATAAGAAAATCGAGCATATTGAAATTGAAATGCTATTATCAAGATATCAAATCAATTTATGTTATAGGGGATGTGTGCATCTTTATTAATGCATTAAATAACAAGAACTATCATAATTTTGGAATAGCGAGAAGCATAAACAAGATACATAAAACTGTAATGTACTATAAACCTATCTTCATTTCTACTTGATAACAAAGTCAAAGTACCCGCTAATACATTGTGGTTTGTTGCCTTGTTGAAGGAAACACTAAATACAGTTAAAGGTTAGCTAAAATAAAGTTGATTATTTTTCATTCAAGTTCACAT